TCTCCATCCAATTCGAATCAAATTCTGTCTTCTTCATCTTCTTCCTCAATCCTCTGGGCGAGACGAACCCTACATATCAGGAAACCTTAATTTCACCGAGAGATAGAAGTTATTTTGCAAATGACAATAACGCTAAGACAAGATGACAAAGCACTAGCGACATGAACCCTAGGGTTAGCAAACCTCTTTCAAGGGTTCTTTTGCAAATGAAAAGTTTGATGAATACAATCAATCAATAATAGACATGGTCGCCGTGATCGTGTTAGAAAGAGATAGGTGAGTAAATTCCGACCGGGAATAAAATGACGAAGAACAAAACGTCGATTGTGGATACAAGGATTTGGGGTTCAAAACGATGATTATGTGGGGATTTCAGATTGGAGGGGATCTTCTCTTAGAATGTGGATACATAGATTTGGGGTATGAAAAACATGATGATGTTGGGGATTTGAGATTGGATAGGGAGCTAAATTGAATGTGGATCATATAATAAAAGTATTTGGGTTTCGAAACGATGATTTTGTTGGAGATTTCAGATTCGATAGGCAGCTTATGATCGAACTTCGAACTAAGAGGGGACGTCCCCTCCAAGACGAATGAGGGATCATAGAAGGGAGACTAGAAATTTATTAGCGCGGCGGTGGGTCGTATCCATAGGATTTAACCTCTTAATCCATATAATTAAACCGGGTACAGTTAGGTTGAAGTCCAATGAAAAAAGCTTTAATGCTTCGTGATGCTTTTTGTAATTTTCCTTGCCCCCGATCTTCCGTACTCCGGATTTTGCTTTGGGCACCATAGAACTATATATATTGCTCACACGCATTTTTATATTTATTGTACATATAGTTTTTTTTATAGTATTCTGCGCTCGACTTTATCAATTACTCGAAACTGTTACATCGTCCAGTTTCAGTTGATCAATAAACAACATGACACGCTAAAACACAACACCTAACAATGGCCAAGTGTAACCAATGAAAGGGACTGCAGTAAAGGCAAGTTTAATTATCAACCCGGGGTCTAGATCTACTGCTTACTCTGTGATTCTCTATTATCTAGCAAACTAGTTCGAGTGATTGTTGTGAAAAGTAAAAGCAACAAGAAAGCAGTAAATTGTTCGGGTTTCTAAAGCAGGCAAAGAGTCACTCGGGATTGAGTCCCCCTAGCCCCTTAGTTAGGTTCAATTGCAATTCCCTGGGTTGATTTACTGTTGATTAGACTGCGGAAGATCCGACAGTAGCTTGGAATCTCTTAAGCTGACCAAGCCCTCTCAGTCTAACTACCCGGCAGACGACTAGTCTTCACCGGGATAGAAAGCTGAGGCTATGAACACAGTGTAGACACCACTTTTTGTCCGGGTTAAAATCTTTTTACTTAAATAAAATTTAGTTTTTATTGAAGATTTGCAATAGCGAGTTAATTGATTTTCAAACTAAAATATATTGATAGTGCTTGAGACGGTCGTGTTCGCATTAACTCTATGAGATAAGAAATAGCAAATCTCGATTGATAGAGTCAAGTTGAGGATAGAGTCAAGTTGATGTTTAAGACATTCACACGGCTTGGGTTAGTGGGGTTTCGATTTTCATGTTTTGGTTTGGTTAAGCGAATTAACCAATTGATTAATCTCATTGTCATGAGTTGTTTAAGACCAATAACAATTGAATTGGACGTTGGAGTTGAGAACAATAAAATATGATGAGAAGGTTAAACAGAAATTACCCTTAACATAAATTTTGATTACTAAATAACAATTATAACTATGACTAGTAATCAGTTACAATTACATAGACCCTTTCATTAAACAAAGATTACAAATTACAAATTTTATTACAAGGGATCAAAACCTAAGCCCAAGTCAACTCAGTCCATCCCCAGTCAACAAAGTCAAACCGGTCAGAGAACAAACAGGTCTGACCAAACCCATATCGGTCCGACCCAACTCAGACCGGTCCGACCCAAACCCGACACTGTTCCAGACTTGGGTAACAAGTTGACTCTCCTATAAAAAAACACTCCACTCTTCTGAATAAGGGGAGAGCTCTTCTTCTTCTTCTTCCTTTCCCCTACCTCGATCTGCTCCTTCTCAACAAAAGCAGGGCCTGAACTTTCTTCTTCTTCTTCATCCTTCTTCCTCCCCATGTGCAACAAAAAAAACTTCTACATATCTCCTTTCCTCCTCTGAACAGAAAAGAACTTCTTTCTCCTTACAAAAAAACAGAGTACCATCTTCTTCACCCTCCATTTCCTCAAACACAGATATATAAAAAAAGCTCTCCTATTACTCTCCTTCTTAAACACGACAACGTACAAAGCAAACAAGGAAAGGAAGAGCACACATAACAAAAGATAAAGAAAAGGAGGCAGCAACAAGAGACAGATGATGAGAGAGAGGCAGACGGATAGCTTCTCTTCTTCTTCTTCTTCCCCCAAGCTTACTGCCTGGGCCTTCTTCTTCCCCTTCCTTCTTACTTCACTTCCTGAAACAAAACAAAAACAACTCACTCCACTTCTTCTTTCTATTCTGATCCATAAACACAAAGCAGAGAAACTCTGCAAAACTTCCCCTTTTCTACTTTCTGATACACACAAAGCACAACAAGAAACCAAAACATAAGAAATACGTACACAGCAGCAAAAATAAGCAAAAGAGGGCAGAATCATCAACAAACATCAAACACGAAGCTTACAACAACAAGAAAACTAAAAAGGAACTGAGGGGCAGAAGGTAGCAGCGGCAGCAAAACTCCCAGCAGCCATACCCTTGAACCAAACAACGAGGAAAGGTTGGTTCTTTATCAATCTCTACAGCTACCTTTCCTTAACAAAAATGGTTTTTAGAAAATCATCTAAGCAACCGACATCCATAGCGAATTACAAGCTGACAATCCTTTTTTATAACAACAAAATAATCAACAAAACCATGAACTGATGCAATCAAAGCTCTTGTTGAGTATATACATATGGATATATTGATTAAAGCTTTTTGTATTAAACAAAACTAAAATCGACAATTACACTATACCTATATATTTAAACATGCTCATGCTTGCTTTTAACAATTGTTTTGCCATTCTTTGTGTTAAGCATACCATCGCAAGCACATTTGAGTTAAACTCCTCACTCTAAGCTACCAAGTCAGATTTTATTAAACTTGCATTAACATGTTAATCTCAACTAACTAGAATCAAACTCCGAGAGGTATTTTGAAATACCTTTCTTTTGTTTTGTTTTAAGGGCTCTCCCTCTTATTTGGACACTTTCTAAACTTAAACCATAACATACTACAAAGCTACCACTATCACCTAAATCAAGCAAAATACCGCACACAACCACAAACCAATTCTCGAATCATAATCACCACCAACCAAATCTCGCAACCAAAATTACATGAACACCACGAAATTTCTGGAATCAAACCCATATCACACACCAATAATCTCAAGTTCCAAAACCATCACAGATTTGCAAACTCCCCATATTAACCCCAAATACACAAAACAAAAATAATCAGAAACCAAAACCTTACCATTCAACTCACTTCTCCCACCCCCGGCGAAGCTCAGAGTGCGGTCGATTCTCCAATCCTTTCCTTCTCCCTCGGTCAAAATCAGATACCAAAACTGATGAGAACCCTAAACAACCAGTCGAACCCCCCCAAATTACAACATGCATAAACTTTAAAGGGTAAGCTCACCTTAATCACCACTGTCATTACCATCGTCGGCGTCCATCTCCGATTTTCCATGCGCCTCTGTCCTTGTCTCCATCGTCGTTTACTTTAATCGTTTCCAACAGAGGAAACCAGCGGCTGCCTAGGGTCGATTTAGGAGTAGAAGTGGAGTTGGGGACTTTGTTTTAGGTGAAATGGAAGAAGAAGAAGAAGAAAGAAGATCGAGAGAAGGAAGTCATTAGTATTTGTTCTCTGGTTCGTCTTTGAGAGGAAAGAAGAATGAGAGGGGAAGTCGATTGATAAAACTGGATAGGCGGCTAGGGTTTTGATCTCTAGGGTTATAAACTCGGCCATCGGAAATGACATGTTCACCCTTCTAGTTTCGTCTAATTACCCGCTGCCACTCTCGGATTGCTTCCGTGAAATCAAAAAAATTATGGTCTGTGAAGTTTCGAACAATGGACCCTGACCTCACTAGTTGCTTAAGGTCAAGGCAATCAACCACTAAGCTATGTTATCATACTTCAACTTTAATCTCTTCATTTCTATTTACTTGTGCTTAATCTTAATACGCAATATTTCTATCGACTAATCTTGCTAAGATTTTTTTCTTTGACCAAATTATGTATGGCTTCATTATTCATACCCATGCTCGTTTTACTTAGAAAATATCTTAATACGAAATCATGATAAACAAACCGTAATAGTTGCTCTCGATGGAATCATTTGAAAGATGGTTTTACCATTCAACTACTAAAGTTGAAGCATCATAAATACATTACCTAATAACTCAAATTATCATCTTAGCCACGATCAATAGAACGTGTTAAGGTCTCTTTTACAAAATAAATTAATTAATCGAACTACGTGGACTTTGATCCCGACTAAGTCGGGTACGTAGGCAACCAATAGGTTCGAGTCCAACCAATCTAAAAAATATTTTTACGTCAATAGGCGTGAAAATTATCAAGTAACTACAACAATTCAGAATTTACGTCCAATTTAACTCTAAAAATACACCCCAAAATTATTAAAATCCTACAATTAAATACACAAACAAATCACAATTAACATTACACCCAACCTCTAAAAACTTATCGATTTACGTAGTACCTGTTATGGGGCGTTGTGGGGTGTGAATACACTTCCCCACATGTAACCGTACTCTCGAACCTAGAACAATCTAAAATTCGCAGAACAGAATTCTGGTTTTAACAAAAAAAATAAAACCGGAAAATGGTGTTCGACCCACCCCAAAGCGCGGTCGATGGCGACTCCGAGGAGTTCGCGACAGGTCCCCCGATCCTGAGGGGCGGTTGCGACAGTGGCGACTCCGCTGGGGACTATAAAGAGTCGAGCTACGGTACAAATCAATAAGTCTTTCTTTCCTTCGCTTTTTGGGTGTTCAATATATTGTCTGTGCTTTTAATTTATATTGTATTTAATTATTTGCATTCATTCATAAAAGCTCTATACCCGAGCTATCCCTTTAGAAAGTGAAAGGAGTAGCGTGACTTCTACAATAGTAGGGGAATAACGTGAAACTTTCTAACCAAGTTGAACTCAAATCCGAGGTTGATTTGAGGTATCTGGCTAACTCGAAAGAGTTATAGTTGGATACAACTTGGGAGCCAATTCTTAGGAACTTCTCACCCAACATATAGTCACCTTATAAAGCCGTCCAAAACTTATCCAAGAGCCTACCTTAAACCTCATAGTTAAATCATCCAAGAACTTAAGGTTTATGTAATCGGTGTCATGTTTGTTATACTTTTGATGCATGTTTGCCTATAACTTGATAAATTGTGCTTTATCAGTTATTCATAAATTATGTGGGTCAATTATACGCAAAAAAATTTCTAATCTTTGATTATCATTCTCCATTTAGCTCTTGTGTAATTATCAAATGAATTTCACAAGTATTCATGTATCCACCAAAAATCTATATTGCATACCACATTCATATCATTTAGCATGATTATCATACATTCATCTCATTTATCAACATTGCGGAATTTAACCATAATAAATCAAGAATTCTCTAAAATTGTTCATCCACGAGGATAAAGTCAACCCCTATGTACCAGATTCAAGGTTGTGCTCATTCTAGATGAAATTCGATGACAGCAAAAGAAGTCAACGGTACCTGGAAAAAATGAAATGACAAGTTGCTATGATCGCAAGGAATCTATCAGAAATTTTGAAGAAATTATTCGTTCAAACATCAATAACCCATGCCCAATCACGGAGATCAGTAAGCCTACTATAAGATCGAGCTTGATTTGAAGATGATGTAGCCCTGCATAATCAAATAAATGCGAGATACTTCACCATATTGAAGAAATATACCAGCATTTGCTTCATACTAAGGAATAAAGAGTTGTTTGTAATTCCATATGTTTGGGACATTGTGTAATTGCTACCAATCTAGATTTAGATGTTTGCATCAATGGTCCTTTTCTTTTCAAAATGATTGCATCTCTTCAAGATATTTTTTTTTAAATGAATTTTGCTCCTCTGAAATGGGAACCTTAAAATTGCATTTCATGTTTCCAAGTTAAGCCATGAGATTTTCATATTAAGAAAATATATACATCCCACTGGTGTCGAGTGATTATAAACACTTCATGAGTGTCAAAACTTTTGCACCCCACTAATAATCAGATTGTGCACACCTTACTGGTATCGAGAGTTTGAGCACCCCAATGGTGTTGAGAGTGTAAACACCCCACTGGTGTCCATAAATAATGCGAGCTAAATAGTCAAAGGGTGTAACGAGGATACGAAACTAGGCTGCTTATAGAAGCTTGTCACTACCATAACCGATATCATCTATCAAATTAAGGCTCGACTAGAAAGGAGGTTGATTATCCAAATCATGGTCCATAACCACCGATATGCCGACATCATAATAGCCAAATTCTCACAAAGCCCAAACGGCCAGAAGATTGAGGAGGTTGAATGATCCAATTTGACAAACTCACATCATCAGTTGAGGTTTTAAGGAGACAAGAAGCCTCGTTGTCCAAATGTCTACATTCCAAAATCTGAATTGTGGGATATTCAAGCGCAAAAAGCGTTCAAACGAAGAGTCCACATACAAAAAGGAATTCTTAAAAAAAAAAAGGAATGGCTTATTCACCATAGACAACAAGAAGAAGCTCCCACAAAGATCGACATATTGACAAGTTTCTAACATTTTGATGCTCGTACACAGATTCGGAAGAGTCAAAATGACAACAAGTATGGGGCATAACAAAGTCAAGTAAGTCCCGCAAAAAAAATGCAAGGAAAAGAAAATCATAATAAAAAAATAGAAAAGCTTTTGGGACTTACATATTATATGCCCCTTACATGAGCATTTGAAGTAAAAACCATTCAGACTCGTGACGAAAAATTATTGGCTACCTCTGCTAATAGGCCTAAGAGATCATTTTGGGTTTACCTCAGGAGTGCGCAGTGCTCATCCTCTCAGTTGGCAGGGTCTATACACTCAAGTGAAACTATACATCAAATTAATCAGCCTTCCAAGCTGAAAGGGCATTTGTCTCCCAAGTGCGAAGAAATAACACAAGAAACCCTTAAAAGGAAGGGCCCCCAAGCAAAAAATGTCAGCATACGCTTAAAGTACATCCCTATGATGATCCCCATTATCCAACACTTTCAAGTCAAAGAAGAACCCTCCCATGATAATAAGACTCGACAATTATGACTGCCACATAAAAGTCTTCATCCTTCATTAGTCCGAGAGCATATGAAAAGTAGAAGTCTGCATCATACCAATACCCTCTTTTTCCATCCTTTCAAGGTCAAATAAAGACCTCAACAAATGAGAAGATTTCATAATCGAGTTTAGTTACTTCACTACTCAAGCTTACCCCTCAAAAGAAAAAGTTCAAGACATAGGGGCAACATGATTCAACATATACCCATAAATATACCTAAGATAAACTACCATTATCAAGGAAAATGGGACTTCCTCAACAAGGATCTCCCCTATCCATCAACTGTCTCATACGTTGGGGCAAACAAATATCCCTCTAGAGGAACTTTTCACGACAAAAATATGATCCCCATTATCTATCGACCAGACTCATACCTAGGGGGCAAGCCGAAAAACCCTCAATATAAAACTTCATATGACTAAACCCAGATGTCACAGGGATTTCCTTTACCCATCTCACTTGATGAAAGCATGATTTCCATAATACGGGGACTCTTACAATAGGAGTCATACCAAGCAAGAGCCACCATTCAGGGAAGTTTGAGAACTTTCACACCGGGACCAAACAAAGATAGCTCGAACTCTTCCCAACCGGCCTATACCTTGAACACTTTTTTCCATCAAGCATGGTGACCAGCATCTTGATAGTAGCTGAAGTATCGTAAACTCAAATCACCCACAGGAATGAGTGAGAGTGAAATTGAGCGTGAGAGTGAATGAAAGTGAAGGCTTATGAATATTCTCATGGCATGGCTTATAAAAAAACAAATTTTAAACAATGTGGCAATAACCACATAATAAATTATTTTTCTCAAAATTGCACACACTTCCCTCAATCGAGGCTTTGGTTTCTAAAAATCAGGTTCCCATTATACATTTTCAAACAAGATTTTTCAAACATTGTTTGCATTCGTCTTAAATCAAGATTGGCAAAAGTTACGCTTTGTTTCAAAGAGTGGAAAGCAAGTAACATCTTCTTGGGGGCAAATGGTGTGACCCAACAAAGAAAGAAGTTCAAATGCTCATAATGGGTTTCCCTACTCTCCAAATCATGAGTAAACAAGAAATCTCAGAGATCTTGAATCACTCTGTTCAAGCTATCCTGCTATTAAGTCAACTCATCCTTAAAGCAACTTTCCTATAAGGAGCTCATGACTACCAATATACCATGATTACTCAAGAGAAGATATGTGGAACCCTAGCTTGAGAAACAAGCAACCCAACAGTTGGCACCAATGGGACATACCACAAGATGAAAGTGCACAACAGATCCTGGGATACAACTTGATGTGGCCTTGAAGATGGATAATTTGAAATTCTCACAAGTCCAATACTCAATCTTCTCACTAATTCGTTGTGAGATTTCCATATACTCTTCACCAATTGGAGGAACGGGTCGATCGACTATCCTCTCATGGCCTATTATGTGGCTCACACCTTCCAGCGAAGTCAATCAAACATATCTTGTAAAACCGACATCAACAAGACAATACCCAGAGATGATAAATTCCTCTTAGCCAAGCACAACGTACTCGCCTAGCAAGAATATCAATCAAACTAAATGAGCGCATTATCCCGACGCCACCATGGTACAAAAGCCTCCTACAAATCAACCTACCAAACACAACTCATGAACAAGAAGATCATACGGCTAACACATCAGCCACTCAAGCACCGATGTCTAAGGTGGAGAAAGTAGAGGACCAACCTTCCAGTAGTCCCCCAAAATGACATGCCTTAGGATCACTGAGGAGACAAAGAGGAGATACTAGATGGCAAACCCAATACCTTGCGATGATGGCTCACGCCGAAGGGAGAAAGTACCCACCGGCGACACCCATGCTACTCCAGCACCACCAAAACTATAGATCACGTTCACTAAAAGGGACAATGACATAGTTCTTTGTGGATGATCGATTTAAGAGAATCCTCGATGTAAAATAGATAAACCATGAGGAGCAATCGTACTCTTTCATACGCATACTCTTCAAAACATCATCATATGACTTATCATACAACATTTTATCCGAATGCACTTCATATCATATCATTCATTAAATGACTAGCTTCAAGGAATTCACAGCCCAAGTAAATATCAATCAGGCAATACCCTTTCAACAACATTTCGAATCATGACATTACATCATGTCATATCACGTCATACAACATCTTGCACTTTCCCGCCCATACGACGTCTAGACAATATTTACAAGTCAAATTGGACACATACCTAAGATACACCTAGACTCAACAATTTGCTTGATTTGGCACCTCATATAAAGCACACAACTCTATGCCACTCGTCATCGAGTTAAGCTTTCGCATATCCTCGTAAATTTTATCGCCAAGACACACATGATCAATTAGGCTACACCGCCATGGATGAAAATCCCAGACCAAGCTATACCGCCACAAAACCCCAGATCAGGCTATACCGCCTCGGGAATCTCACCCAAACCAGGCCATACTGCCACGAGAGCACACAAACCTAAATCAGGCTATACCACCACAGGAAGCTCACCCAATCAAGCCATACCGCCAAAATAACAAAATATCAACTCAAGCCCTATCGCCATGATGCCTAAATACCAACACAGACTCTACCGCCCACGATACCTAAGAACTAACTCAGAACCTACCGCCACGATACCTAAGAAAGAAGACAGGCCCTACCGCCACACAAAAAGACCAATGCAGGCTATACTGCCATGAAAAGAAACCATTGCAGGCTACACCGCCATAAAAAAAGAAATCATTTCAGGCTATACCACCAAGATACAAAGAAACCCAAGTCAGGCTATACTGCTATAGAAACAACCAAACCCAAATTAGGCTATAACGCCATGGGGGCAACATAGACCAAAATCAGGCTATACCGCCATGGGACCACGAATCCCAACTAGGTTGGACCACCATGTTAGCAAAACCCAAATCAGGTTCTACCGCCATGGGACAAAAAAACTAAACAAGTCCATACTCTAAACCAGGCCATACCACCGTGAGAGTAAGCAAGTCCTTTTTGCTATACCGCATGGGAACAAACAAGTTATATCGTCGCTTGAACTGATTGATACTTTGTTTAGCTTCTAACAATATCTAAACCGACAAAAATGGTGTTTTAAGATAACTTTGTATACCTCTCAAATACCAAGAGATATACAAAGGGGGGCAACTGTAGACACCACTTTTTGTCCGGGTTAAAATCTTTTTACTTAAATAAAATTTAGTTTTTATTGAAGATTTGCAATAGCGAGTTAATTGATTTTCAAACTAAAATATATTGATAGTGCTTGAGACGGTCGTGTTCGCATTAACTCTATGAGATAAGAAATAGCAAATCTCGATTGATAGAGTCAAGTTGAGGATAGAGTCAAGTTGATGTTTAAGACATTCACACGGCTTGGGTTAGTGGGGTTTCGATTTTCATGTTTTGGTTTGGTTAAGCGAATTAACCAATTGATTAATCTCATTGTCATGAGTTGTTTAAGACCAATAACAATTGAATTGGACGTTGGAGTTGAGAACAATAAAATATGATGAGAAGGTTAAACAGAAATTACCCTTAACATAAATTTTGATTACTAAATAACAATTATAACTATGACTAGTAATCAGTTACAATTACATAGACCCTTTCATTAAACAAAGATTACAAA